TATGCCTCAATTTTGACATGACTACAACTGAAATTTTGAATTTTATTTGGGCAATAGTACGAACCACCTGTAGTCAACCTACAATAACTGGAACAGAATGGCAAAATTTACCTCAAAATCACATTAGACGCATTACTGGTAGTATGAGGAGAAGGGTTGAGGCTATCATCCGGGCACGTGGCGGTTACATACGTTATTAAAAAATTGGCTACATAATGTCATTTTAGGTTACTAAATTGGTATCGCTACTTATAACATTACTACTTCTACTTCTTAGCTCAACTAAGTGGTCATGTCATGAAAGTGCTTTCAATCACAACCGATTATAAATTCTGGGGTGTATAGATAGACATGTTAACGTATTCTTGCAGTTAGTATGTATATAATAAAAGATAAATAATAAATTTAATATATATACAAACGAATATACAAAACTCAGTAAAAACAAGCAATACAAAATTAAAGAAATAAAATTCCTCATCCAAGTGAAGGTGACATACCAGGAATATTCGCCCATGACAAATGATGTTAGTGCAAGCATTAGCTAAGGTTGAAATAATCTGGGTGAACAAGTTTGTTCTTTCCCCATCACTGGGATTACATTATACCTAACAAACATTTAAAGCATCTAAGCAAGGGCAATAACAGATGCAAAACAAAATTATTATGTCGAAGCCAATGCATGGGCGAGTTGGATAGTCCCACTATTCTTCAAACAATCAAGCTTACAACATGTATGATATTAAAAAAATATTAGTTTCTTTTTCGTACTAACTATGATGATAAACATATTTAAATCCTTGTCATTTTAAATAAAGAGAGACACTTTGCATGTTTTATGCAAACCCTGGATTAATAACATTGTAACAAGAGCCATGTCAACATGGCCATCCCCCGCCGAATGTGATTGCTCATTTGAAGAATGTATATGTAGTAGAGCAGATAATTCAATTTTAAGAGGTCTTTTGGTAATGAAAACTGATGGCTGAAGTGATTAAAGATTTGAAACCTATATGAATACTGATGGCTGAAAATAACAAAGGGTAGGTTATCATTCTTGTGTGCTGCACCCATCCTCAGTAAAATCAATCCACCTATGAAGTTTCAAGTTGATACCTCAAATACTTTTTGAGATAATCTCCGGACAAAATAGTATGAAAAAGAACAAAGGGCAATAACTCAAATATTTTATAGGGAAGAGTTATCATTCTTGTGCACAGCATTCCTCCTCAATAAGATCTATCCACCTATGAAATTTCATGTTGACATCTCAAATACTTTTGAGTTATGCTCCACTCAGGTGAAAAATTAAGTATGAACAAGAGGGCCATGATGGCCCTGAGGTCGCTCACCTGTATATAGCCCCCCCCCCCCGGGGTCAATTTTTATTTGAACAGACTTGGTAGACACCCATAAGAAGATGTTCTAGCTCATTGGGTTTTTTAAAAGAAGATTTTTAAGTTTTTACTATACACATATAGTTAAAAACAATGACACCCCTGGGGCAGGGCCAGTTTTGACCCCGGGCTTTTATTTGAACAAACTTTGTAGATATTTACTTAAAGATGTTTCATGTATAATATCTAAACTCAAGCTATTTGGGTTTTTTCAAAGAAGATTTTTAAGTTTTTGCTATACACATATAAGGAAAATCAATGACCCCCGGGGCAGGGCCAGTTTTGACCCCAGGGCTTTTATTTGAACATACTTGGTAGACACCTATTATAACATGTTTCATGCTAAATATCTTAGCTCTAGCTCTTTGAGTTCTTTAAAAGAAGATTTTTTAAGTTTTTACTATATGCATATAGGGAAAATCAATGACCCCCTGGGGCGGGGCCAATTTTGACCCCAGGGCTTTTATTTGAACAAACTTGGTAGACATTCACTAGAAGATGTTTCATGCCAAATATCTAAGCTCTAGCTCTTACGGTTCTTTAAAAGAAGATTTTTTAAGTTTTTACTATATGCATATAGGGAAAATCAATGACCCCCCGGGGCGGGGCCAATTTTGACCCCAGGGCTTTTATTTGAACAAACTTGGTAGACACTCACTAGAAGATATTTCATGTCAAATATCTTAGCTCTGGCTCTTTGGGTTCTTTAAAAGAAGATTTTTTAAGTTTTTACTATATGCATATAGGGAAAATCTATGACCCCCTGGGGCAGGGCCAATTTTGACCTCAGGGCTTTTATTTGAACAAACTTGGTAGACACTCATTAGAAGATGTTTCATGCTAAATATCTTAGCTCTAGCTCTTTGGGTTCTTTAAAAGAAGATTTTTTAAGTTTTTACTATATGCATATAGGGAAAATCAATGACCCCCTGGGGCGGGACCAATTTTGACCCCAGGGCTTTTATTTGAACAAACTTGGTAGACATTTACTAGAAGATGTTTCATGCCAAATATCTAAGCTCTAGCTTTTACAGTTCTTTAAAAGAAGATTTTTTAAGTTTTTACTATATGCATATAGGGAAAATCAATGACCCCCCTGGCCGGGGCCAATTTTGACCCCAGGGCTTTTATTTGAACAAACTTGGTAGACACTCACTAGAAGATGTTTCATGCCAAATATCTTAGCTCTAGCTCTTTGGGTTCTTTAAAAGAATATTTTTAAGTTTTTACTATATGCATATAGGGAAAATCAATGACCCCCTGGGGCGGGGCCAATTTTGACCCTAGGCCTTTATTTGAACAAACTTGGTAGACACTCATTAGAAGATGTTTCATGCCAAATATCTAAGCTCTAGCTCTTTCGGTTCTTTAAAAGAAGATATTTAAAGATTTTTCTTTCGGTTGCCATGGCAACCAGAGTTCTGCATGAAATGGAATTCTTTGAACAATCTTGATAGAGCTTCATACAAAGAGTATTCCTGCCAAGTTTCATTAACATTGGCCTTGCGGTATCATAGAAGATGTCCTTAGAATATTTAAAATGTGGACGGACGACAGACGACGGACGCCATTTGGTTGGCCATCCTAAAAGCTCACCTGCACTTTGTGCAAGGTGAGCTAAAAATAACAAAGGGCAATAACTCAAAAATTATGAAAGGAAGAGTTATCATTCTTGTGCACTGCACACCTCCTGAGTGAGATCTATGCACCTGTGAAGTTTCATGTTAATATCTCAAAGGCTTTTTGAGTAATGCTCTGGACAAAAATTAATTTTGAAAAAATAACAAAGGGCAATAACTCAAAAATTATGCAGTGTAGAGTTATCATTCATGTGCACTGCACTCCTCCTCAATGAGTTCCATTTACCTATGAAGTTTCAAGTTGATACCTCAAATACTTTTTGAGATAAGCTCCGGACAAAATAGTATGAAAAAGAACAAAGGGCAATAACTCAAAAATTATATAGCGAAGAGTTACCATTCTTGCGCACAGCATTCCTCCTCAATAAGATCTATCCACCTATGACATCTCATGTTGACATCTCAAACACTTTTTGAGTTATGCTCCACTCAGGTGAAAAATAAAGTATGAAAAATAACAAAGGGCAATAACTCAAAAATTATGAAAGGTAGAGTTATCATTCTTGTGCACTGCACACCTCCTGAGTGAGATCTATGCACCTTTGAAGTTTCACGTTGATATCTCAAAGGCTTTTTGAGTTATGCTCTGGACAAAAATTAATTTTGAAAAATAACAAAGGGCAATAACTCAAAAATTATGCAGGGTAGAGTTATCATTCTTGTGCACTGCATTCTTCCTCTATGAGGTCTATCCACCTATGAAGTTTCAAAATGATACCTCAAATACTTTTTGAGATATACTCCGGACAAAAATGTCGGACGGAAGGGCGGAAAGACAGGCGGACGGAGACTATTTCTATATCCCCCGCCGCCTTTCGGCGGGGGATAATAATTGTATCACCACACTAATTTCTACTCTCTTATGAACGTAATTGTCGGCTGTTTCTCGCTCATTCTCAATAAAACGAACATTTGCGGTTGGAAAATATTGAAAATCCACAATTGTTGAGTTTTAAGTTGGAGTTACGCAGGTTTCATACTGGCTTATTCATGAAATCTGCCATAAAATTCAAAATTACATGTAAATCGGCTCTTTTATTCAGGCAACATATGTACATCATTCTATTTTCATAAAAATGCACTTTTATGTTCCTGTGACCTAGTTTTTCATCCGAGATGACCCATGTCCATACTCAACCGAGCAATTACCTAGGCAAGCATCCTGACAAAGTTTGATGATGATTGAGGTAAAAATGTGACTACTAGAGTGTTAAGGAACAAATGTGAACGGACAATGAACATTCAACGATCCTAAAGCTAGTAACATATATTTCTGTAGCGTATGTTTCATATTGACATTAAAAGTTGGTTGAAAAATAAAGCAAGAGCGTAGAACGCGCTATATAATTCGGGACTAATAATTATCAGAATTACACAAAGATAAATTTTTATTCTTGTTTTGAATTTTCTTGAATGGATTTGCGTAAAAACCATGGTAACGTATGTTTCTGTATAAAATGTCGTTGAAAAAGATACGAATAAAAAATAAAATTTTCAAAACAACAGAATGATATTTGAGAGACTGGCAGCTTATATTTGCTTATAATTATACATACGCTGTATTATTAGGCATTACATTACTTCTGTTTCGCTATCAAATTCTTTAAGTTTGTTACTATTTATTTACATGTATTTGGCGACATTTTATCATCCATGATATCAGTGAGGTTTTAACAGCCAAGTACAATTTTCAATAATAATCAGAATGTATATGCATGCAGCAATGACTAATTGCACATGTTTCGTTTATTCTGGAACTTATGTTTCTGCAACACATCATCAAAGTTGAAAATTCTAGGTAGCGACAGTAACCTATGTTACATTTAAGGGCATAAATGGTACTTGTAAAAGAAGGATACATTAAGATAAAAATGAAAAACTGAAAGTGTCCCTATTAGAAAACAAGCAAATTCGTTGAATTTATATCCCCCGCTGAGTACTGGTTATTACTAACACAACAACAGAAGACATAAGGCTTTATTTATATATTTATCATGGCATAAACAGTAATATTCTTTGTACATGATAAATATTCAGGGCAAAAACAGAACTCTGTTTTAAATAGTAATATCTGGACATGCAAATGAGATGTAAATTGCCTTTTTGTATCGATGGTTGCCATAAAGTTTTGTTGAAATCAGTACAGCAGTTGCAAAGAAATGGCAATGTTGTTCTATATGCATACTACATAACTAATCAAGGGCAATAACTCTGGGTCTGGTCTGAACAAGGCAACAATATGCACATCTCCGCTTGGTATTAATGGTTCCCATAAAGTTTAATTGAATTCTTGCCAGTAGTTGCAGAGAAGTAGCGCGGAAACAATTATTACTCTATATGCATACTGCATAACTAATCAAGGGCCATAACTATGAGTTTAAGTGTCTGACCGGAACAAGGCGATGATATGTGCATTTCCTCTTGGTATTGAAGGTTCCTAAAAAGTTTCGTTGAATTACGGCCAGTAGTTGCAGAGAAGTAGCGCGGAAACGATTTTTGCTCTATATGCATACAGCATAACTAATCAATGGCCAAAACTCTTGAGTTAAAGAGTCTGATCGGAACAAGCAGACAATATGCACATCTCCTCTTGATATTGATGATTCCCATAAAGTTTTGTTGAATTCCAGCAAGTAGTTGCAGAGAAGTACATTTTGTAGCGCGGAAACAATTATTGCTCTATTTGCATACTGCATGACTAATCAAGGGCCATAACTCTGAGTTACAGTGTCTGACCAGAACAAGGCGAAGATATATGCATCTTCTCTTGGTATTGAAGGTTCCCATAAAGTTTCTTCGAATTCCAGCCAGTAGTTGCAGAGAAGTAGCGCGAAAACGATTTTTGCTCTATATGCATACCGCATGACTAATCAAGGGCCATAACTCTGTGTTAAAGGGTCTGACTGGAACAAGCCGATGATATGCGCATCTTCTCTTGATATTGATGATTCCCATGAAGTATTGTTGAATTCCAGCCAGTAGTTACAGAAAAGTAGCACGGAAACGATTATTGCTCTATATGCATACTGCATAACTAATCAAGGGCCATAACTATGAGTTAAAGTGTCTGACCAGAACAAGGCCACGATATGGGCATCTCCTCTTAGTATTGAAGGTTTCCATAAAGTTTCATTGAATTCCAGCCAGTAGTTGCAGAGAAGTAGCGCAGAAACAAATAATATTGTTCTACATGCATACTGCATAATTAATCAAGGGCCATAATTCTGAGTTAAAGTAACTGACCGGAACAAGACAACGATTTGCGCATCTCCTCTTGGTATTGTTGGTTTGTTTCGTTATCAAATATATTTAAACAATTAACTATATTATCATTTCATACACTTCACAAATATACTAATTAGAAACAAGAATGTATCTTGGGGCAAACAACCTAAAGACATTATTATGATTATATTCTTATAACTATATTTTTTTTTAAATGGAATGCTTCAATATGATATCAATCTAAACTGTACAATAATAACTAAATTAGTTTTGAAAATTAAATTTGATGAAGGTAAATATATTTTTATTCTTGCATAATATCCAGATTTGAACACTTAATTACACAATGATCAAATTCTTGGCTTGAATAATTTTGTTATTTTAAGCTTGAACCTTTAAAATTTTAAGATTAACTACCATTCTAAAACATTCATAATTAGTATAATATGATTTTTATTTCTTTTCTTTCCATCATGTTAATTATTTTACAATAGCATTTAAATATTTTGAGTATTTACAGAAAGGGAGCCAAATTTAGCATATCTTGGTGCAGATACCCTACCACCTCTCTTAAAACACATGAAAGCTACAACTAAGAATAAAATAAATAGTGCTACAGCCAGTGTTCCTATCACATAGTACATGTAGTTAGGCACTTGAGGTTCTGGCGTGGAATGCTGATGCTTGCTTGATGTCTCTGGGTGTTCGGTTGTCTGTCCACCTGCCATGCATGTTTTATAGTTATCAATGTCTAGCTCTGATATTGCACAGATATGCTTTTGAAAGCATGTGTCATTACAGTTTTGACCTACAAGCCATTTCACACTATTGAAGTCTAAATATTTCCTAAAGACTTTATTCTTTTTATCAGAAAATCCCTTTAACACAGTATGCAGTTCAACAGGTTTAAGTTGATCAATGGCATAAACATCAGAAGTGTCATATTCTTTCTCCCATTTGGTCGGATCACTGGCAATGTTGGCTTCAGTCAGGTTGAGGAAGTATTGCTCATATTTTAGTAGCACACCTGTCTCTCTGTCATACTGGAACAGTCTTATAGACGGGTTATTGGCACCTACACCTGGTAATGTGCTTTTCCAAGGTGTTACAGCAGGACTCAAGAATAATGCAGAAATAGGTTTACCTGTGGAACAAGGATGAAACTTAGTAAGCTTTAAAATACCATTAAGATTTGCTTTAGAAAAAATGTAACTGGTTATCAAACTGGTTGATTTTGCAAAATCTGTTAATGAACCAAATGAATAGACATCTTTTAATGCAAAGGCTCAATGCTTATATTTAATAATCAAACCTCGAGTTTCCATTAAATTGTAGTAAGTGGCAAAATATAACAATCAAATCATTAATGCATCATGCACAATACTTTAAGTGCACATTAAATACATTTTCATGTAAGACTCTTAGAATTGTCACAGTCAATGTCAGGTAAAAATAGTAAAACATTTAATCAGTTGGATTGTTAATGACATTGGATTATCTGGCTCAGTCATAATTAAATGAAGAAATGATTTTAAGAAAGAACACATTATTGGTCATAATTAGGCTGCAACGATTATAATGACAAAGGCCTTCTTAATTATCAAATGGGTGAGAAATCAAATTACTGTTAATTACCTTTGATCTAATAACCCTCAAGACTTGAGTTGCCTAATCCTACAGACAAATACCAAATTAATTAGACTAGGTCAGCAAAACAATTTTAGTAGAACAAAACTATATACCCATTCATTGGTACATTTGTGTTTGTAATTTATTGAGTTAAAAACTGCATACATACAATTACATGTATCATAAAGCACAAAGCAGAAATAACTGTAGATTGGTTGGCACAAGAAACCGCATGAAAAAAGTACCTTCTTTATCAAATTGTACTCTAAAGCTGTCCGTATGTTCATGGCCATACAACTGTGCTATAATTACATCAGAATACTTCTCCATCACCTCCAGGTATTTCTTGTTAAAGTCTTCATAGAACCATGCCATTCCTTCAAACAACTCAAACAGTCCTGGTGGAACGTGTGCAATAATAAGTACCTGGTGATGAGAGGACAAGAATTTTGTTCTTTATCAACTTAGTTCTTTAACAGCATTTTTAAAGAATACCAAACATTTGGTGATAACTTCAGTATTTATTATTAATTAATATAGAATGCACAAATGTTTTAAAATCTTAGTCAGAACTATAATATGACAACATAACTGTACAAAACTACATCCCCTAGATAAATATGAAGATAATTAAAACAGCTTATCAGAACTGATTTCTCAGTCTGGTTTATAAAAATATATACCAGTATTTATCAAGGGTGCCATTGTCATAAAATATGCCCACAATGAAATCTCACAGGGTTCCAGATTTTTCTTATGACATTGACATTTTTTTCCTCTGACCTATAGGAATGACCCTGACCTCTGACCTAGTTTTAGTGCACAACATTAAGTCTCGTGAAGGTAAACATCAATAAAAACAAGATATGTTTGTAAAACATGTATGATCCCTATCAGCAGCCAATCAGTCATGTGATCAGGTTAACTGTATGTGTATTTAAATTTGCGAAAAAAACAAATTTTCGGGGAAAGGTCCATTTTGGGGGTATATACAAATATTCGCGCTATTTTGAATTCGCGGAGGTGACTGCCAAAAATCATAAATTGCGTACACCCATCAGGTTAAAAAATAAGGAAAATTACTCTTACACGATTAGGCAATGGTTTTCGCAAGCAGCCTTCTTTCAGTTTACATACTTTTTACTGTAATCATTGTGGGACTTCTCACTTATTTTCAACACCTCAGATGTCAAACAATACGCTATTGTACAGAACAAAGACATTCAATTTGTCTAGCGGACAGATTATGGCAAACAAAAATATGTGTTAACATACAATGTATGTGATTTTTCACAGTTTTAAACAGCACCGAATGAGACCATAATCTTTTCACCGATTTTGTTAAAATTTTGTTTTGTTTTCCATCAGTTAAAATCATTAATGTTTGTGTTGTTTGAAATGTTTGTTTAGAAAAACAAAATATAATATAATCAGATGTCAAGATGTTTATGACTCAGACTATAAAATAAATAGCCTGATGCAATTGTATTGTTCAAACATGTATATACTTATACAATAATCCGATAATCATATCAGTCAAACAATAATACACTACGAAACTGATTTATATACAGAGCTGAATTTACATGTATAGTTTATAAAACAGTAAAATCACTCTTTGAAAGCACCATGGATACCAGACTTATGGCAGCCTTGAACGCACTGATATACATTGTTCTATAGATGTGCGAAAATATGACTATTAAGAAATTATTGGTGTAGAAATATTCGCGCTGAACATGAATTCGCGGATCGAATGTTACTGCGAAGATCGCGAAAATTTGAAGCCCCCAAATATTTCTACACATACAGTATTATAACTTTTTTTTGACCTTGTGACCAAAAAATCAATAAGGCTTAACTATTGGTCATGACTAGTCACTAGGTAATTGTGACCGCAAAGGTTGAATGCAACAATTTTATGACAAATCTTACCAAATAATATATGCATATTACAAGGCCTCATTAATGACAGCCAAGTTGTTATATTAAATAAGACCTTGAAATTTGTATACCAAAAGCATTTTTAGTTTGATAAAAAAATATAAACCAAGGCAACTTGAGTTGTTGAGTTATTGGTCAGAAATCGTCTTTATGTAAAAGGTAAATATGACATTGACCATTGACCCTTAAATCATTATCAATAGGGCTTATCTACTGGCGAAACCAATGCACCAGTGAAGTTTAAAGGTAAAGGGCCTATGTCAGTTGTTGGGATATTAATCACAAAGCGTTTTTACCTATAAGGTCAATATGATCTTGATCCTCTGACCCTTTTACCCCAAAAATCCATTGAGGTTATCTTCTGACCAAAAGCGATACATTTGTAGAGCGATGCATTTGTAGAGCTTGAAGGTCAAGGATCCATGGGTTGTCCAGTTATTGATAGAAAACCATTTTGACATAAAAGGTCAATGCGTCCTTGACCTTTGACCTATTGACCCCAAAATCAATAGGGTCATCTACTGGTCAAGAACAATCATCATACCAAGTTTGAAGTTCCTAAGCCTAAGCATTCTTTAGTTATTGATTGGAAATTGCTTTTACCTAAAAAGTCAATGAGACCTTGAACTTTGACCCATGACCCTAAAATCTTTAGGGGTCATCTACTGGTCATGAGCAATCACCATACCAGGTTTGAAGTTCCTAGGCCTAAGCATTCTTAAGTTTAACTGATCGGAAACCATTTTTACCTACAAGGTCAATGTGACCTTGACCTTTGACCCCTTGACCCCAAAATCAATAGGGGTCATCTAATGGTCATGAACAATCATCATACTAAGTTTGAAGTTCCTAGGCCTAAGCGTTCTCTTGTTATTTCTCGGAAACCTTTTGGTCTACAGACCGACCGACCGACAGACCGACAAACCGACAGACAGACAAACGCAAAGCAATATACCCCCACTTCTTTGAAGGGGGGCATATATAAATATGCAGGTAATAGAGAAGATATTCTCTGTACAAAATTCTCAACATTTCATCATCTCTTTACTTTGCTCATAAGACCCTTGAGCTTGTTTACATTTGTGTCAGAATGCTTCAATTCTCGATGACAAAATGGTACATACACACATTTTCTAATCTTTATGTTACATTTGACCTCTACACATGATCATACCTACAGTTTTTCTTTGACCAACCTGTAAGTGCCACCTTGACCTTTGAACAAGACTTTAACTCAGTTCATGAACAAATACTGTCTTATGATGATGAACATTTGAATCAAGTAATAAACTAGAAATGTGTCAATGGGACACGGGTGCCCCCACACTCCACAGATTTGTCAATCTTAAATATGTCTCTACGTCAATTTTTTTTTGTGGCTACATGTGCCCAAGTTGAAAACTAAACAATTTTTATTAAGTAAAGGTCAAATACTACAAATACTGAATAAATCCACAAGAAAACCCCAAGGTGCATAAGTACACATGCTGACCAACATTCTTGTAAACTTTCAGGCCAACAGGTCATATACTTTTTGAGCTATGCATGATAAGTTGAAAATTGCAAATTTATATTAAGTCAAGTATAGTAACTCTAACAAAACTGAAAAAAAATCCACATGCAAAACCCATGCAGAGCCTTGATAAAGTAAATTTTTCTAAGTTCACAAAAGAACCTTTATTTTTAAATTCCAATTGTTACAGTTATAGGCTTTGGAGAGAGTCCTATTATGCTCTCAAAGAAGTGTATAAAATTTCAACTTGATTCAAAGCCAGATGTCAATAGAATATGAAACAAGAAACATGGCAATGCCACGAAACCAGGTTTTCAATTATCACCATTGTAGATAAATATGTTGTAGTTGAAATACAAATACAAGCAACAAACAATGTAACTTTGTGCAATGTTAATCATGAATAATGAATTTTCTATTTTTAATTATTGTAACCTTGACCCTAGGGGGCCCAAAAGCCATCCCAAGTGAGGTCTTTATAAAAACTTGCTTTACACCAAATTTCATAAAAATATCTTATTCCAAACTAGTTATTGACCAGAAACCTAATTTCTATTTTTAGTAACAGTGACCTGACTGGAATCAGATTTTCTATTTTTAGCAACAATGACCTTGACCTTGACTCTACAGGACCCAAAAGCAGGCAGATGAGCTGACAGGCGTGCAACAACCTAGATAGTTTCTGTTTTATAACTTAATAAAGTTTGTTGTGATTAAAAGGATATATTACACATATAATAAAATTTTATGGAAAAAACAAAGGGCCATAATAAGGTAAAAACTTATCCAATCACAAAAACCTGACAATATGCATCAGGGCACTTGAAGACAAAGCTAGTCTGTGAAAGTTTGCTCAAAATCCATTGAGAAATGTAGGAGAAGTTGCGCACAGAAGAAATTGTTCACTATATAGTCTATATAAGGAAAAACAACAAAGGGCCATAATTAGGTCAAATATTATCCAATCACAAATACCCGCCAATATGTGCCTGAGGGCACTTGATGACAAAGCTTCTTTGAAAGGTTGGTCAAAATCCTTGAGAAATGTAGGAGGAGATGTGCACAGAAGAAATTGTTCACTATATATTCTATATAAGAAAAAAAAAAAACTTCCATAATAACTTCAAATATTATCAAATCACAAAACCCCGCCAATATGCCCCAGGGCACTTGATGACAAACTTCTGTGAAAGTTTGGTCAAAATCCATTGAGAAATGTAGGAGGAGTTGCGCACAGAAGAAATTGTTCACTATATATTCTATATAAGGAAAAAAACAAAGGGCCATAATTAGGTCAAATATTATTCAATCATAAAACCCTGACAATATGTGCCAGGGCACTTGATGACAAAGCTTCTGTGAAAGTTTGGTAAAAATCTGTTAGGAAATGTAGGAGGAGTTGCACACAGAAGAAATTGTTTACGCCCGCCCGTCCGCCTGCCCGCCCATCCGCCAACAAACCTCAATTTAATAACCAGTTTTACCCTTCGGAAAACCTGGTTAAATATCTGAGGTGGTATGCAAAAAGGGCATTATTCTGTCAAAATGCTTGCTAGAGTTACCTCTTCCTGACTACTGTTTGGGGCATGATGGTGAACAAGTGTGTAAAGTTTCAAAGCCATATGCCTATGGACTTATGAAAATATTTAAGGTGGTATGCAAACTTTAACCTAAATTCTAAGTCGAACACTATTGTAACAATATAAGCCTGTCACAAAAGCTTTTGATAGAGATTTGGGCATTATAGATATGCATATAGGAGATATGTTCTGGGCAATATCCGGAAATTATCTGGATATTTTATCTTTTCTAGTGACCTTGACCTTGCAAATATTAACCTTAATTACATGTGTCACACTTGAAGTCATGATAGTTATCATTTGTGTTACAATCCATGAATAAATGATAACTAAATGGTCCCCGTTTACAGACTTTGACCTCTCTATGTGACCTTGACTTTGGTAGCAGGGATCTGTATTATGTGCACAATAAGCCTCACAACGGTGAACATTTGTGACAAGTTACATTAAAATCTCCCGATGAATGTAGAAGTTCGGGTCCGAACAAGCATTTTTCAATGACCTTTAAGTGTGACCTTCACCTTTAACCTAGAGACCTGGTTCATGCACGTGACACTGCTTCTCATACTTAAGTGAACATTTCTATGAAGTTTCATTAAAATCCCACCATGCCTGGAGGAAATATGCTCTGGACAAAATTTCTATATTTTATCATCTTAAGTGACCTTGACCTTGCATTTATTAACCTGGTTCATGGTTCACACCAGTAGTTATGATAATGACCATTTGTGTTTCAATCTCTTTCATAAATGATAACTAAATGGTTCCAATCAAATTTTAATATTTTAATATCTGCACTTTGACCTCTATATGTGACCTTGATCTTGGCTGCAGGAACCTAAATTTTGCATGGAACCATTCGCCTCACAAAAGTGAACATTTGTGCCAAGTTATATTGAAATCCCTCTATTGCATGTAGAAGTTTTGCTCCGGACAAGTGTTTTTCAAAGACCTCTAAGTGTGACCTTGACCTTTGACCTAGATACCGGATTCATGCGTGCCACCTGACTTCTCATAGTGGTGAACATTTCTATGAAGTTTCATTGAAATTCCTCCATGCTTGTAGGAGATATGCTCTGGACAAAAATTGGATGCCAAAAAAAGCATATATCTATGGTCTTTGAAAATATTTGAGGTGGTACACAAACTTTAACATAAGTGGTTACACCGACGCCAGGGTGACTAGGGTAGCTCAACTTATTCTTATCAAATAGTCAAGCTAAAAAGTATGCTTCTCAATAATGTTATAGATAGAGCTGTAAAATTTTAAGTTGGTATCATAGGTATCTAAATGTTAGCTCAGATTGACGAAAAGAGGGCCAAACACATGAATGGATAAACAGCCAAACACACCCGTTCATTTTTTTTTCTTGCTGACTGAAGCTGATTGTCAATCCATTTAAGCTGGTTTGCAGGATCAGGCAGACCTTTGGTCAGCTTGTCTAGGTTATAGTAGAGATTGGTATTTAAGCCTAGTAGCTTGATCTTCTCAGATAAATGGGAACTGTAGTAACCACCTGAAAGGAATATAAATACAATTTTATATCATATTCTTTAAGACAGTAGATTTTCATAAATAAACATATATATGATATATATATACATGTATATATAGCTATGACTATACCTGTCATAGCTTATCGTTTTAATTTACTAGAACTTAAAAAACAAGAGTTACAGCAAGCAGGAGCCAAACTCAACTTTTTCATATTTCTTAAGTCAAACATATTGAAGGAAGAATATTAGAATAAAGAATTCTATAAGAGAAGTTAGTCCGGACATCACTTAAAAAAATTATTTAAAGGCCATAAATCATTAAAAATCATTAAACTGGAAAATGCTGACGATATGCACAACTACACTTGGTACTGATCATTCTTGTAAAGTTTGGATGAAAATGCACAAGTAGTTTCTAAGAAGTAGTCCGGACAAGCTTTTGTGTAGCTGGCAACACACTAAAAACTCCTTTTTTATTGAAGGGCCAAAAATCATTCAAGGGAAAAACGTACGTATTATGCTCAAGTACTTGAGCTACCAATCAATCCTATAAAGATTAATCGAAATGGCACAAATGGTATAAGATGATTAGTCCAAACAATCTTTATTAACTCCTTTTTGTGTCACCTCTAGCAGTGGTTACATATAGGCACTTCTCCGGCGTCATATAGGGATCACTTCTCCGGCGTCTGTCTGTCCATCTGTCTGTCCCTACAAACCCAGAGGTACTTGTGATACTAAGGAGAACAATGGGTAATAGTAAATTTTCTTTGATCCTATTCATCCGATTTACTTGTGTGTCTTTTTTTAAAACTTATGTGACTAAAAATGGCTAAAAAGATCACAGGAAATTTTAGTCACATAAGTACCATGTCGTAAGTACATCCGTCCGTTACAAAACTTGTCCGGATTACTTCTAAAACAACTGGTGCAATTTCATCCAAACTTTACAGGAATGATCAGTACCAAGTATAGTTGTGCATATTGTCAGCATTTTCCGGTTCAATGATTTTTGTCCGAGTAATGGCCCTTATAATTTTTAGCTTTAAAGTTTGTCAGGACTACTCCTCTTATACCTCTAATGTAATTTCAATGAAACTTTATAGGATTGATCTGTAGCTCAAGCCCTTGAGCATATTGCACAGGTTTTCCAGTTCAATGATTTTTGGCCGAGTTATGGCCCTTTAGTGAAAAAGGTGGTTTTTCTTGTGTGTTGCCAGATACACAAAAGCTTGTTCGAACTACTTCTCAAAAACAACTAGTGCAATTTCATCTAAACCAGTACCAAGTCTTGTTGTGCACATCATCGGCTTTTTATGGTTCAATGAATTTTGTTGGAGTTATGGCCTTTTTATAATTTTTTTTTTTTAAAGTTTGTCCGGACTACTCCTCTTATACCACTAATGCAATGTTAATGAAACTTTACAGAATTGATTAGTAGGTCAAGTACTTGTGCATATTACACATGTTTTCCGCTTGAATGATTTTTGGCCCAGTTATGGCCCTTGATTGAAAAGGATTTTAATAAAGTTGTCAGGACGTAACTACTCTTATACCATTAAATTGCAATTTCAATGAAACTTTACAGAATCGACTGGCAGGTCAAGTATTCATGCATAATAGTTTTTCGCTTGAATGATTTTCAGCTGATTTATCGCCCTTGAATAAAAGTGGTTTGCCCTGTTAATGATTTTTGGGTCTCCTGCTACTCTGAGTAGTGCAACATACGATTGGCTATCATGAGGCGACATATGTCATCACTGATGGCCTTGTTTTATTCAAGGGCCACTAGACCTATCATTGAAGGTGATTAATACCCCCACCAGCAACTTTGACTTTTTGAAAAAAAGTAAGTGAAGGAAACTTTGAACTCAACCTATGTAAATGAAGTATCAACTGAGTCAAAGAATTATTTCCATTAATTGCAATCCTAACTCGGGTCTTCATATAAGCTTAATATACACCAAGTTTGATTACAATATCTCATTCCTAACTCTAGATATTGTCCAGAATTTTTTTTTCTATTTTTAGTAATGGTGACCCTAACCTTGACCCCAGGGGGTCCAAATGCAATACCAACAGGGGTCTTCATAAATGTTGCTATACACCAAGATAGATTACAATATCTCATTCCTAACTCTAGTTATCATCCGGAAATCATTTTTCTATTTTTAGTAATGGTGACCTTGACCTTGACCCCATGGGGTCCAAATGCAATACCAACCAAGGTCTTCATATAAGCTGGCTTTACACCATGTTTGATTACAATACCTCATTTTTAACTCTAGTTATTGTCGGGAAACCATTTTTCTATTTTTAGTAATGGTGACCTTGACCTCCAATGGTCCAAATGCAGTACCAACCGGGGTCTTCAAAAAGGCTGCTTTTACACCAAGTTTGATTACAATTAATATCTAATTCCTTAATCTAGTTATTGTCGAGAAACTTTTTTCTATTTTAAGTAATGGTTACCTTGACGCCAGGGGGTCCAAATGCAATACCAACTGGGGTCTTCATATAAGCTTGCTAATCACCATGTATGATTACAATATCTCATTCCTAAGTTCCTAACTCTAGTTATTGTCCGAAAATAATTTTTCTATTTTTAGTATGGGTGACCTTGACCCCAGGGGGTCCAAATGCAATACCAACCAGGGTCTCCACATAAGGTTGCTATATACAAAGTTTGATTACAATACCTCATTTCAAACTCTAGACCAACAGACAAACTGACATCTATATACCCCCCCCCCCCCAAACTTTGTTTGTGGGGGTATAATAAAGCAACCAAAAATCATTCAAGCAAAAAACCTGTTCAATATGTGAAAGTAGTTGACCTCAGTAACAGACCAATCCTGACCATAACTGTCACAAAAATCATTGAACCATAAGTATTGAAGCTACTGATCAATACTGTAGTTTGATTAGTTTCATTTAAATTGCATTTAGAGTGGTATTAAGAGACTGAAAAATTATTAAAGGGCCATAACCCTGACAAAAATCAATGAACCAGAAAAATGCCAATCATATGCACAACTAGACTTGGTATTGACCATTCCTGTAAAGTTTGGACAAAAATTTGCAGCAGTAGTTTTTGAGGAATAGTCCCAGTAGTCAAGACAAGTTTTCTGATGTGGAGAAGTGATCCCTATATACTCTGTAAAGAGAACACAAAAAATAAAATGTAGGGTTATCTGTCCTCCAGAAATGGTGTCATATTTTGATAGTGAACATTTATATTAAGGTTTTAATGAATTACTTTGATAGTTACGTTACAAAAAGGTTAACCAGGACTAAAAATCTGAAAAAGGGACATAAATTTGCAAAAAATAATTTGAATATACACAATGTAATCTGCCATTTTGAATCCTTTCATGACAATAATCATGTATAACAAGTTTGAAGTGAATAGCTTTTATAGTTTTTTAAAAAAATATACCTAAATGAAAATATTAACTGACACCCACACCACACAAAAGGGTCATGACAATAGGTCCACATTTTTCTTTGAAAATGGAGCTTAAAAATTATAATGAGGAGAGTCATCATTCTTATGCACTGTATCTTCCTTAATTAGTTTGATCCACCTCAGAAGTTGACAGATACCCTCCAGACAAAAATTAACCATGAAAAATAAAGGACAATATTACTCGTTTTAATGTGCAGTACACTTCTGCTCAATGAGATATAACTACCATTGACTTTTCAAGATGATATCTCAAATATTTTTGGAGTTATAGTCTGGACAAAAATCAGCATGGAAAAAACAAAGGAAAATAACTTAATAATGAAGATAGTACAGTTATCACTATTGTGTCCTGCACACCACAATGAGATACACTTACCTGTGAAGATTCAAATTGATATCCCAAATACTTTTCCAGTCATGCTCCAGACAAAAAAGGCATGAAAAATATTAATGGACAATAACTCAATAATGATATTTACAAGCAATTATCATAGTATTGCAAGCAATCCATAAGTCCCCTACCGGTTAGAACCCCAGCAACACTCTGATGGGCCATTGGCCATTCAATTATATCATTGAATGAATGATTGACCTTAAATCTTTTGAGTTTTAAGTTTGTCTATATCATAGTAAAATAATGTGTTAAGTTTCCCTGCCTAGTAAGGAATTATAAACGTTAATACAATTGTGAGTTAATCAAAAGGTCCAGTTTACTCAGGATGAATAAGTATAACTAATGTTTCAACTTTTCTCTATTTTAAGTAAATTTGTTGGAAAAAATCTTTAAAAATAATCTCAGGAAACAGTTTTTATGAACAGACAGACTGAAGGAGACTCAAAAGTTAATTTTTTAAACATCCCTGTTATCAAAATATAACAATTTTTAAAGTGAAATACTTAAAGAGGAGATAACTCTTTGAAATAAAGATGCTAGATTTATGAACATTGTCATGCATACATGATGTGAGTGTAACAAAGAACATTTATTTTAAGTTTAAAGATACCATTTTAAGTCACAAAGAAGAAAAGTAAAAAAATACCAAGTTTCAAATATAACACTAATTAACATGTATAGTAACAAAGATTAAAAAAAAGAAAAAAATAATTATATAATGTAGGTGTTGATAATGAATGTTTATTTTGAATTTGAAGTAAATCCATGAAGAAATAAGAAAGTTACAGAATGAATAAGAATAATTCAAAAGTTAAGGAGGAGATAATTCTGGAACTGTGGATTCTAGACTTATAAACCTTGTCATATTAGTATGATGTGGGAGTTTAAAGTACATGTAAATCCTATAAGGAATGAAAAAGTTGGAATAAAAAATACAAATTTCTTGGAAAAAAATCTAAGTTCAAGGGGGACATAATTCTGGAAATAGTCTTGCTAGAGTATTGGACCTTCTCACAAATGTTGAATGACAAGAGCCATGTCAACATTGCCTTCCCCCGCCGAATGTGTTTACTCATTGGAAGAATGTATATTATAGTAGAGCAGAATAATTCCATTTTAAGAGGTCTTTTGGTAATGAAAACTGATGGCTGAAGTGATTACAGATTTGAAATCTATGTGAATACTGATGGCTGAATATAACAAAGGGCAATAACTGAAAAATAATGCAGGGTAGGTTATCATTCTTGTGTGCTGCACCCCTCCTCAGTAAGATCTATCCACCTATGAAGTTTCAAGTTATACCTCAAATACTTTTTGAGTTATGCGCTCCACTCAGGTGAAAAAGTTAAACACAAATGCCCCGGCTCAGATTCTTGTCAGTAACAATATTTAAAATAAAGGCTGCATGGGCAAAAGTGTAAAAAATCTATTTTTAGCACTGGTGATCTTGACCCAACTGACCCCTACCTCCATCCAAATGAGAATACCTCAATTTTATGTTCCTACAAAATATACAAGACATCTGTCGATAGAATAAGGTTAATACACCTGTAAAAAGTGTAAAAAATCTATTTCCTACCAATTATAATACAAATCTGTCAATAAATAAAGGCTGTATGAGCAAAAGTGTAAAAAAATCTATTTTAAGCACTGGTGACCTTGACCCAACTGACCCCTACCTCCATCCAAATGAGAATACCTCAATTTTATGTTCCTACAAAATATACAAGACATCTGTTGATAGAATAAGGTTAATACACCTGTAAAAAGTGTAAAAAATCTATTTTTGACATTAGTGACCTTGACCCAAATAACCTTACTAATGGAAAAGGTAGAGTACCTCCCTTGGTATGACTATTATAAACATGAAAGACATTAACTTAAAAATAAAGGCTGTATGAGCAGAAATGTTTAGATTAATTTTTTTACACAAGTGACCTTGACCTAGAGACGCCTAACGCCACAAAAAATTAGAGGACCGTTAAAGGTATCCACCTACCAAATATGAAAGATATCATTAAATAAATTAAGTAATTAGGTGAAATATTTTGATAAATCCAACTTGGCAGAACAGGTTAACCATACAAGGCCCTATTTTCAAAGTGATAAAAAGAGAAATTACTGGGAAAATGGATGGCACATTTATATAACTTGGCAATATCATGTACATTGTATTGATAAGTAAGTGTGAAAATTATTAAGCCATTAGTTCAGACAGAACATAAGATATTTCCAACTTGCCGGTTTAGGTTAACCATTATTCACTTTCTAAGTGCTGAAAAGGGTCATAACTTGGTGCAAATGGAAGCCATAGTTATGTCACTTGCCCAGATCATATACTTTGTATGGATTAGTAAGTGTGTAAATTATGAAGCCATTGGTACAGGTAGAACTTAAGAAAAATCCAACTTGCCGTTCTAAGTTAACCTTGTACGGACAGACGGACGGACCGACAGACGGACCGCCGGTTCAATTACTATATGCCGGGGGGCATAATAACAAAGGGAAATAACTCAAATTTATGCAGGGTAGAGTTATCATTCTTGTGCACTGCACTCCTCCTCAATGAGATCCATCCACCTATGAAGTTTCAAGTTGATACCTCAAATACTTTTTGAGATAAGCTCCCGACAAAATAGTATGAAAAAGAACAAAGGGCAATAACTCAAAAATTGTATAGGGAAGAGTTATCATTCTTGTGCACAGCATTCCTCCAGAATAAGATCTATCCACCTATGACATTTCATGTTGACATCTCAAACACTTTTGAATTATGCTCCACTCGGGTGAAAAATTAGGTATGAAAAATAACAAAGGGCAATAACTCAAAAATAATGAAAGGATGAGTTATCATTCTTGTGCACTGCACACCTCCTGAGTGAGATCTATGCACCTATGAAGTTTCATGTTGATATCTCAAAGGCTTTTTGAGTTATGCTCTGGACAAAAATTAATTTTGAAAAATAACAAAGGGAAATAACTAAAAAATTATGCAGGGTAGAGTTATCATTCTTGTGCACTGTACTCCTCCTCAATGAGATCCATCCACCTATGAAGTTTCAAGTTGATACCTCAAATACTTTTTGAGTTAAGCTCCGGACAAAATAGTATGAAAAAGAACAAAGGGCAATAACTCAAAAATTATATAGGGAAGAGTTATCATTCTTGTGCACAGCAGTCCTCCTAAATGAGATCTATCCACCTATGACATTTCATGTTGATATCTCAGACACTTTTGAATTATGCTCCACTCGGGTGAAAAATTAGGTATGAAAAATAACAAAGGGCAATAACTCAAAAATAATGAAAGGATGAGTTATCATTCTTGTGCACTGCACACCTCCTGAGTGAGATCTATGCACCTATGAAGTTTCATGTTGATATCTCAAAGGCTTTTTGAGTTATGCTCTGGACAAAAATTAATTTTGAAAAATAACAAAGGGAAATAACTAAAAAATTATGCAGGGTAGAGTTATCATTCTTGTGCACTGTACTCCTCCTCAATGAGATCCATCCACCTATGAAGTTTCAAGTTGATACCTCAAATACTTTTTGAGTTAAGCTCCGGACAAAATAGTATGAAAAAGAACAAAGGGCAATAACTCAAAAATTATATAGGGAAGAGTTATCATTCTTGTGCACAGCAGTCCTCCTAAATGAGATCTATCCACCTATGACATTTCATGTTGATATCTCAAACACTTTTTGAGTTATGCTCCACTCAGGTGAAAAAATATGTATGAAAAATAACAAAGGGCAATAACTCAAACATTATGAAGGTAGAGTTATCATTCTTGTACACTGCACACCTCCTGAGTGAGATCTTTGCACCTATGAAGTTTCATGTTGATATCTCAAAGGCATTTTTAGTTATGCTCTGGACAAAGATTAATTTTGAAAAATAACAAAGGGCAATAACTCAAAAATTATGCAGGGTAGAGTTATCATTCTTGTGCACTGCACTCCTCCTCGATGAGGTCTATCCACCTATGAAGTTTCAAGTTGATACCTCAAACGGCCTTTTTGAGATATGCTCCGGACAAAAATATTGGACGGCATAAAACATCATAATAAGAAACATTATATGGAGTTTGAAGTAGATACATTAAGAACTAAAGAAGTTATTTTAAAAAAAAAAACTCATTTTTTTCATGAAAAGGGAGGTAATTTTGATAATTTTTAAGCTAGAGTTGTCACATATGATGTGGTGGATGACCAGAAACTAATATTTAAAGTTTGAAGTAAATACCTTAAGAAATAAAGTGAAAAAGCGTAAAAACTAGAATCAGAAATCTTGAAATTCAGTCTATTTGTTGCCATAGCAACCAGAATTTTCAACATAGGAAGAAAAGAAAAAGATGTGCATAGTGCATAATCTCCAGATTGCCGTATACCAAGTTTCATAAAAATATTTTCAGTACTTTTCGCGTTATCGCGGGATCCAGTTTATGTGTTAAATTTGCCATATTTTCAGTATATTTATTGCCATAGCAACCAGAATTTTCAACATAGGTAGAAAAGAAAAGGACGTGCATAATCTCCATACTGCCATTTATCCATATACCAAGTTTTATAAAAATATTTTCAGTACTTTTCGTGTTATCGCAGGATCCAGTTTTGTGGACGGACAGATTGAAGAACTGACAGAAAGACAGACAGACAGAGGGTAAACCTAAAGTCCCCTCCAGTTCAACCGGTAGGGGACTAATAACAAGATGGCTATGATGGCCCTGAAATAGCTCACCTGTATATAGGCCCCTGGGCCAAGGCCAATTTTAAACCAGAGGCTTTTATTTGATCAAACTTGGTAGACATTCACTAGAAGATATTTCATGCTTAGTACCAACACTCTAGCTCTTTGGGTTTTTATATGAAGATATTTAAGTTTTTACTATATACATATAAGGAAAATCAATGACCCCCGGGCAGGGGCCAATTTAAACCTGCTAAATATCTTAGCTCTAGCTCTTTGGGGTTTTTACAGAAGATTTTTTAAGTTTTTACTAAAAACACAAAGGGAAAAACAATGACCCCCTGGGGCGGGGCTAGTTTTGACCCCAGGGCTTTTATTTGAACAAACTTGGAAGAAACCCACTAGAAGATGTTTCATGTTTAATATCTAAGCTCTAGCTATTTTTTTTTTTTTAAAAAGGATATTTTAAGTTTTGACTATATATACAAGTAAGGAAAATAAATGACCCCCCGGGGCGGGGCCAATTTTGACCTCAGGGCATTTATTTGAACAAACTTGGTAGACACTGACTAGAGGATGTTTCAGGCTTAATATCTAAGCTCTAGCTATTTGGGTTTTTTAAAAGAAGATTTTTTAAGTTTTTATTATATACAAATAAGGAAAATCAATGACCCCCCGGGGCGGGCCAATTTTGACCCCAGGGCATTTATTTGAACAAACTTGGTAGACACTGACTAGATGATGTTTCATGCTTAATATTTAAGCTCTAGCTCTTTCAGTTTTCTAAAAGAAGGTATTTTAAGTTTTTTCTTTCGGTTGCCATGGCAACCAGAGTTCTGCTTGGAATTAAATTCTTTGCACAATTTTTAAAGTTGACAACCAAAGGAACATTCCTGTGAAGTTTGGATGAATTTGGCTTAGAGGTTTATGAGGAGATGTCGTTTAAAGTAAAAGTTTACGGACGGACGACAGACGGACGCCGGACGAAAATCGATCACAAAAGCTCACCATGTCACTTTGTGACAGGTGAGCTAAAAACTAGAAATGTGTCCACAGGACATTGATACCCCACATTTCACTGTTATGTCAGGCTACTCAGACATACAGCAGGACAGTATTACAGATGGACAGAAAAAAGAAATACTACTTTGCTGAAGCAGTATAATATATTAGTTTTGCTTTCAAAAGGAAACAAACAGTCCATTTATAAAATTTCACTATCAAAATAATTATACTTGAAATTAGAACTTAGAAGCAAACAAATACAGAGTCTGGCCAATCCTAGGCTGATGGCCCAATAATAGTGTCACATAATTCTTGTGATGACTTAACCAGTAGCTTTTGAGATAGGTGCAAAAAAATTTACCATTCATAAACTGCTTGCTCTCATTCTGTCCTAATACTGCACGCCAGCCGCTTACATCTAATATATCCTTGTAATATTTTGTGTCTTCTACATCATAGGGCATCATATTGGAGGGATATGGGTCATGGTTTCCGAGCACTGGATAGATTGTTGTGTTTTGGAACACTGACATAAGCTCTGCTGTAACATTTCCAATTAACATGAAGACTTTGTCAAGATCTAGATCCTTTTCATTCACATGGGGAACACTGTCTCTGTAAATATGCATATACTATTAGCTGTTTGTTACGTAAAATCAATGTATATTTGTCAATGAAATTTGCCAAATGAATTGCTCACCCAAGATACATTGCTAGAAATAATAAAAATTTTCAATGTTAAAGTCAGTAATGTTTATCATTTTTACCCAAGCTACTAAATTTTTAAAATATTTAATGATGTCTGCTACGAAATACTTCATAACAAATACAGTTAAAAACCCTCAATTAAAATGACCATTGGAACTTTTAACAGCGGGGTCAGATTTCAGTTGTGGATATTCCTATCATTGCTTACATACTTTATGACCATGGTTTATTTCTGTCATTTTGTATGGATAAACAATATGTATCTTAACCTGTAAATACAATATAAACAAGATATGTTTGTAAAACATGTATGCACCTTTCCGCAGCCAATTAGTCATATCGCCAGGTTATTGTGACTTAAACTTTTGACCTTATTGACAGTGACGAAAGGGGTTATCTACTGGTCATAGAAGGTCAAGGGTCCATGGGTTCTTGAGTTATTGATAGGAAACTGTCAATGTCAATGTGACCTTAACCTTTGACCCCCCAATACTGGCCAAGACCAATACACCTTTGCAGTTTGTGGGCCAGGGCCCATGGGTTTTATTGCATAGTTATTGATCCGAAACCGTTTTTGACTACAATGTCAATATGACCATGACCTTTGACCCCTTGACCTTTGACATCAAAATCAATAAGGGTCATCTACAGGCCAAGACTAATGCACCGGCAAACAGCCGATGGAATGTCAAGTTATTGATCAGAAACTGTTTTTATCTTCAAGGTCAATGTGACCTTAACCTTTGACCCCCCAATACTGGCCAAGACCAATACACCTTTGCAGTTTGTGGGCCAGGGCCCATGGGTTTTATTAGTTATTGATCCGAAACTGTTTTTGACTACAATGTCAATATGACCTTGACCTTTGACCCCTTGACCTTTGACATCAAAATCAATAAGGGTCATCTACAGGCCAAGACTAATGCACCGGCAAACAGCCGATGGAATGTCAAGTTATTGATCAGAAACTGTTTTTATCTTCAAGGTCAATGTGACCTTGACCTTTGACCCCTTGACCTCAAAATCAATAGAAGTCATCTACTGGCCAAGACTAATGCACCTATGCAGTTTGAGGGCCAAGGGCCCATGCATAGTAAAGTTATTGATCAGAAACTGTTTTAAACTACAACATCAATGTGACCTTGACCTTTGACCCCTTAACCCAAAAATCAATGGCCAAGACCAATGCACCTGTGAAGTTTGAAAGTCAAAGTCTCATGAGTTGTTGAGTTATTAATTGGAAATTTGACATTGACCTTTGACCTTAAGACAATAGGGGTCATCTTCTGGACATGAACAATCCCCATACCAAGCTTGAAGTTCCAAGGCCTAAGCATTCTTTAGTTATTGATCGGAAACCATGCATGTTAATCTGATGAGAGAAAATCATATTTCTGAAGAAATTTAATATTAAATTCTCCTTGGTTTGATTTCAATATTAATTATTACATGATGCACGTAATTCACCTATCAAACAAGAGAGCTGGTTGAACCAGGTGATGCTCCCCGTATAGGTTTTGGACACAGGAAGGTATACCTCTTGTAGTGTCAGTTATGTAACAGATAAAGTTCAAAGTGTAAAAACAACCAAAATGTTGCGCGGCACACATTGTCTCAATATGGTGATCATTTCTGTGAAATCGACTCCAAATAATCAAGTTATGGGCTGGACACGATTTTGCTGCATATTGGTCATGCTGTGACCTTGACCTTCAAGGTAGCGACCCATATGTTGCGCACGACACTTTGTCTCAATATGGTGATCATTTCTGTGAAATAGTTGTAAAATCTGACTTCAAATAACTTCTTATGGGCCAGACACTATTTTGCTGCCAGGTCATGCTGTGACCTTGACCTTCAAGGTAGTGACCAAATGTTGCGCGCAACACGTTGTCTAAATATGTTGATCATCTCTGTGAAATAGTTGTAAAATCTGACTTCAAATAACTTCTTATGGGCCGAACACAATTTTGCTGCAAGGTCATGCTGTGACCTAACCTTCAAGGTAGCGACCCAAATATTGCGGGCGACACGTCGTCTCAATATGGTGATCATTTCTGTGAAAAAGTTGTAAAATCCGACTTCAAATTACGAAGTTATGGACCGAAACAAGAATACAAATGTAAGGAAGTCCGGATGGACTGATGGACGGACATCCTTACATTTGTATTCTTGTTGGGTATTTTACTGTGTAAAAAAGTACCCAACAATACATCAAAATTCATTAAAAATACAAAAAAATACATACGGAATGAGTAGGATTTGTAGTTGTTGGGTTAAATTTAGTACCCAACGATTATATCCTCTCGTGCGGACGCACGGACAACCCGGCGACTATAATGCTCCCCCGAAATTTTTCAGGGAGCATAATAAGAAATGAAATCTTTACAAAATAAAATGTGCTGAAAGCAACATCAAACCACTCTTAAATTTACTTTCTCGCCTTATTTCATACAATAACCCAATATTTAAACAGTTTTCAAGTGTCGTCAAGAGCATTCAAGCACTGAGATTTTAAACAAATTTAAGATCAAGGTAATGTCTGGCAATATTGACCTTAGACATTTGAATATTCAATGACCTAAATATATCAGTAATTGTCGGATTCTGAAGTATATCATACAGATTTTAAAATATGGCATAACCATACGATGATAGTTATTCTTGGTTTATGTATAACTTAAAGTTACCGGAACAACACTTGTGTAACTTGTCTCAGTGATAAGGTGTTAAGACTTTTAGTTTCAAAGTGAAGACTGTATACTATAGGTCCAAATCTTAATGAAACTTTACTTTTTTATGTGTGTGTGTTGTTTTTTTTTAATTATATTTTGCAAATCTAATACTCAATTTGTGTGCATGCCAATCAACCATTGTAAGACTGTACAAATTGAAATTATGAAACTTTACAAATATACATCTATATATCAAAGTTATGATTTTTTCATAGAAAAGACATAAGAAATTAAAGAAATGATTCATCCATTAATACTGCATTTAATTAAAAAATAATTAAAGAAATCTGAAAAAAAAGTTTCTTGAGGATTTGAACTTGCAACTTCACGATTACTATGCTGTCACACTTACCACTAGGCCACTTACTGCTATGCCATCGGGAAGTTAGTATAAAATAAAGTATCGGCAACATTCCTATCATTAAAAATCAATTAGTGAATTGTAAAAATTATGGAAAATAATGAAACATTTAGAGGGCCATGATGGCCCTGAAGTCGCTCACCTGTATATAGGCCCACAGAGCGAGGCCAGTTTAAACCCCAGGGCTTTTATTTGAACAAAATTGGTAGACACCCATTAGAAGATGTTTCATGCTAAACATCTAAGGTCTAGCTCGTTGAGTTTTTTAAAAAAAGATTTTTTAAGTTTTTACTATACACATATAGTTAAAAGCAATGACATCCCTAGGGCGGGCCAGTTTTGACCCCAGGGCTTTTATTTGAACAAATTTTGAAGACACTAGAAGGTGTTTCATGCTTAATATCTAAACTCTAGCTATTTGTTTTTATTCAAAGAAGATTTTTAAGTTTTTGCTATACACATATAAGGAAAATTAATGTCCCCCGGGGCAGGGCCAATTTTGACCCTAGGGCTTTTATTTGAACAAACTTTGAAGACACTAACTGGAAGATGTTTCATGCTTAATATCTAAACTCTAGCTATTTGGGTTTTTTCAAAGAAGATTTTTTTAAAAAGCTTTTGCAATACACATATAAGGAAAATCAATGACCCCCCGGGACAGGGCCAATTTTAACCCCAGGGCTCTTATTTGAACAAATTTGGTAGACACCCATTAGAACATCTTTCATGCTAAGTATCTTAGCTCTAGCTCTTTGGGTTCTCTAAAAGAAGTTTTTTAAGTTTTTACTATATGCATATAGGGAAAATCAATGACCCCCTGGGGGGCCAATTTTGACCCCAGGGCTTTTATTTGAACAAACTTGATAGACACTCATTAGAAGATGTTTCATGCTAAATATCTTAGCTCTAGCTCTTTGGGTTCTTTAAAAGAAGATTTTATAAGTTTTTACTATATGCATATAGGGAAAATCAATGACCCCCTGGGGCGGGGCCAATTTTGACCCCAGGGCTTTTATTTGAACAAACTTGGTAGCCACCCATTAGAAGATGTTTCATGCTAAATATCTTAGCTCTAGCTCTTTAGGTTCTTTAAAAGTAGATTTTTTAAGTTTTCTCTATATGCATATAGGGAAAATCAATGACCCCCTGGGGCGGGGCCAATTTTGACCCCAGGGCTTTTATTTGAACAAACTTGATAGACACTCACTAGAAGATGTTTCATGCCAAATATCTAAGCTCTACCTCTTTGAGTTTTTTAAAAGAAGATATTTTAAGTTTTTTCTATCGGAGTTCTGCATGGAATTAAATTCTTTGAACAATTTTTAAAGGTGATCACCAAAGGAACATTCCTGTGAAGTTTGGATGAAATTGGCTCATTGGTTTATGAGAAGATGTCATTTAAAGTAAAAGTTTACAGACGACGGACGGACGCCGGACGGACACCGGACGAAAAGCGATCACAAAAGCCCACCCTGTCACTTTGTGACAGGTGAGCTAAAAAGCTTCCAAAATTCAATGAGTCTCAGGTTAATATTGCCAAACAATAGGTGTTTACTTTAATATCACTGGTCTCAATAGTAGGGTCAAATACTAGTAGACAATAAAACACAAACCTCCAGGGACTGAATCTGGTGGTCTTAAAAGTGGATAAGTGGGGAAGGTCTTAAATCTGGATCATGTTACCATGTAACATAAAGAACAGAAAATTCAGTTCTTTTAAAAAAAATGGTCTTAATAGTGGAGTGGTCTTAATTCTGGGGTGGTCTTAAGTAGGGTAATTCTACTGTACATGTAACTAATCTCTTAGCACTGAAATTTCACACAAGAAATCTTATTTTAATTTGTTTTACTATGTAAGTTTATATAATCTAAATGTACCACAGGCAAAAAAACCAATTTTGACCCAAGGGGATGATTTATACTTTGGTAGAGGACCATTAGGTCTTGCTACATGCAAAATATCTAAACTCGAGGCATTTTAATTGCATTTTTACTATACAAGACTAGGTAAACTAAGGGAACCAAGGATGGGATCATCTTTTACCCGAGGGTCATAACATTCAATGCTACATGCCAATGCTCTTGTTATTGCAGTTTCACAAAAAAATGTCTTAAATTTGTTTTCCTCTATAGGTGACCCCTGAAGTGGGACTTTTTTTACGATTAAGAAGATCACAAGGTGATGCAACATAACAAATATCTAAGGTCTGGGCATTGTTGTTTCTGAGACTTAGAATTTTCAAAGTCCATTTGTAGCTACTGTGACCTACTTATGCCTCAAACTGAAACAGTTTAAAACTTTTGTAAAGGACAATCTAAGTTAACCATTCTTGTAAGGTTTGGTCAAAATCCATCAAGTGGTTAAGGAGAAGATGTTGTTTAAAGGAATTGTGGATGGACATTGAACAACAGATGACAGATACTAAGAATACTGCCATTACAAAAGTTCACTTGTGGGTGAGCTTAAAATGTGTTTATATACATAAAAACAAACCAAATCATGCCATCCTTAAGAGTTTATATTGAAGCAGAAGTATAAAGTGGTGACAATTTACCTCTGTGCAATTTATAAGCCAAAGAGATGCTTTTTATACTGAAATTTAGATCACTGTACAGGTGCCAATGTCAGACATAACCTGTACAGTAAGCTAGTTTTTAATTTAAAGATCTCATTGTGTATTTTCAATGTATATATGGAGTCTCACCCTGTCCAGATGATAAAATCTGGGTTTGGTTGGATTTTGTACATTGCCTGTACAGCTGAGGTGATCAGTTGCCATGGAGAATCACACAGATAGTTTCCATAGTTACCAATCAAGTTTGGTGAACTACTGTTCCCTTTATGGCACATGTTGTCAGGGTCACCTGATGTACTATAATTGGCATCATAATGGAAATCTGTTACTTGCCAAAAGTAGCCTGAAGTAAAAAAAAAAGAAACATTATAAGCAGGTTAGCCTAATCATCAGCATAACACTTTGTTACAAGTTTTGCATGCAACATCATATTTTATAAACCACTAATGATATCTGCTTTTAACTTCACATATTTATTGGAGACAATAATAGGAGGTAACTTTCCAAGGCCCATAATTCTAGCATGGCCCTTCTTGAACTTCTGGCCCCGAATTCACAAAGATTTAAGGTTGTCAGGATCAAATTTAAAAACTCAAATATTCTGTATTGTTTTATCCTCATAGATTAAATATTTAATAATGACTTAATACAATTGGACTTGAAATGGCATTTTTATGAAATTTTAGAATAAATTTATTGTTATTTTTGCAACATGCTGGCATTTTACTGTTGATCCAAATATTGATCTTGATCAGAAAACTGATCCTTATTTTGATCCTATTATCACTGCGGTATTATACCGTACCACGGATATTGCTCAATATTATGAGGACTTTCATCCTATTTCGCGACTTTGAACGAGGAAAGAAGGTAAGTTCAGTGACGATATTTAGTCATTTTGAATTGGTTTGATATAAATTTTATAGAAAACAAGAACGTGTTTGTTAAACACATTTAATGTCCCCGGCTCCGATTCTTGTCAGTAGCAATATTTCAAAAAATGTTTACCCATTCACTCAGTTATGGACAGAAACATTGCCAAAAATTGTAAACACATTTTAGTTATATAGCTTGACAGAGTCATGGCATTTTGTAATTGTGAAATATATAAGTTGCCAAGTCATTGCTATGACTTGTGAAGTGATAAATATTCAACTTTATCAAATATATATAAATGTAAGAAATCTATACTTGGTACCCTTGACCTTGACCCACTGACACCTATAGAATATCATGCAAGTTATCTTCCTACCAAATATGAAATAAACCTGTCAATAAATAAAGGCTGTATGGGCAAAAATGTTAAAATCTATTTTGAGCATTGATGACCTTGACCAAACTAACCCCTAACTCCATCCAAAGGAAGAATACCACGCAAGTTATCTTCCAACCAAATATGAAATAAATCTGTCAATAAATAAAGGCTGTATGGGCAAAATTGTAAAACTCCATTTTTAGCACTTGCGACCTTGACCCAACTGACCCCTAACTCCATCCAAAGTAAGAATAACATGCAAGTTATCTTCCTACCAAATATGAAATATATCTGTCAATAAATAAAGGCTGTATGGGCAAAAGTGTAAAAATCTATTTTAAGCATTAGTGACATTGACACACTGACCCCTAACTCAATCAAAAGGAAGAATACCATGCAAGTTATCTTCCTATCAAATATGAAATACACCTGTCAATAAATAAAGCCTGTATGGGCAAGTGTAAAAATCTATTTTTAGCACAAGTGAACTTGACCCACTGATCCCTACCCAAATCAAAAGGATGAATACCATGCAAGTTATCTTCCTACCAAATATGAAATATATCTGTCAATAAATAAAGGCTGTATGAGCAAAAGTGTAAAAATCTATTTTTAGCACCGGTGACTTTGACCCAACTGACCACTAACTCCATCAAATTTTATGTTCCTATCAATTATAAATGGCATCTGTCTTATGATAGAATATGGTTAATACACCTGTAAAAATGTAAAAATCTATTTTTAACATTGGTGACCTTGACATTGGTGACATTGACCTTGACCCAAATGACTGCTTACTATACCCAAAGAAGGAGGACCTCCCTTGGCATGTTTGTATTAAACATGAAAGACATCAACCAAAAAATAAAGGCAGTACGAGCAAAAATGTTTAAATTTATTTTCTAAACCAGTGACCTTGACTTTGACCCTAGAGACCACTTACTCCACAAAAAATTAGAGGACCATTAAAGGTATCCACCTACCAAATATGCAAGATATCATTAAATAAATTAAGCAATTAAGAGAAATTTACGATAAATCCAACTTGTCGGAATAGGTTAACCATACAAGGCCCTATTTTCAAAGTGAAAAAAGGGAAATAACTGGGAAATATGGATGACACAGTTACATAACTTGGCAATATCATGTACTTTGTATTGATAAGTAAGTGTGGAAATTATGAAGCCATTAGTATAGATAGAACTTAAGATATTTCCAACTTGCCGTTTTAGGTTAACCATGATTCATTTTCTAAGTGCTGAAAAGGGCAATAACTTGGTAAATATGGAAGCCATAGTTATGTAACTTGACCAGATCATGTACTTTGTATTGATTAGTAAGTGTGTAAACTAAGAAGCCTAAAAAAATTGGTACAGGTAGAACTTAAGAAAAATCCAACTTGCCGTTCTAGGTTAACCTCGTACGGACGGACAGAAGTTCTCACAGGACAGTGATTATGTGGCTACTCTATTGTTCTCTCTATTGTTCTTTTTAGCCACACAAAGAAAATAGCCACATAAAAGCATTACGGAATGAATGACATCAAAGAGAAAGAACAGTTACCTATTGTCCCTCTAGCCACATAATTACTCTCCTGTGAGTGCGGACAGACAGACGGACGGACGGTTCAATTACTATATGCCCGGGGGCATAAAAATACTTGATAATTCCTCTAGAAACTAAAAACCCAAAAATGTTGAGAAATAGCTTTGTGGTAAAATTCATCTCTTTGCTCACATGATAAATGAGCTAGGATCAGTCAAATTTGATGTTTTTGTGAATATACTTCCTTAAAAGAAAAACTTGAATCAAGTGAAATGTGATAATGATGATAACGTTTATGTTGTAAATGTTCAATCAACAATAGAACCTCAGATGACAGTGCATTTTGAGAAAAATACACATGTCAGTGTGTCACGAGTATTGCTTTTTAGTATAACGAGTATTGGTTATCGATATAGAGTAAAATTAATGCAAGTTATAAACACAGAGTATTTCCTACATTTAATTTTAAATATTTCTTATTGTGTATACTTATTTACACTATATGTGCAGATTATGCAGAGTTCGGAGGTACTTTACTGGAAACACCTGCAAATAATCCAGATTTTCATTCCTGCTCATGAAAAATCTCAGTCAAACAAACTCAGCAATTTTCTGTGTTTAAAAAGTTCTCTTTGCTATCGAAGGATCAACCTTTCCAGAATTTGTTAATAATTATTGCATATCTTACTTTAAACAGTAAAAAAAAATGCATCCAAAGTGCATTAATGCTGCCTCAAGATTGTCAATATTAGACGGTATTGAGCAAGTGTGCCAATATCTAATATCAACCGACTTCCTACTAAGTCAGAAATCCATATAAAGGTAACTTTCGGTCATTTTGCACCTGCACTCTAGCAACGGCAGACCATCTGCACATGAAATTTGTTACGTCATTAGCAATGAGGTACCGTATGACTTCTGAGCAAGTACTGTTCTGAGCTCAAAAAACCGAATAATGGATTTTGATAAGATTATGATAAAGGGCAGCAGATGCAATAAAAAGGTTATGTTTCCTTATAACCTTTTATCACTCACCCATGCCGATTTTGCGACTCCGTAAATATGGTACTGCATGGCCGTGACGTGATTAGCGTTATACTGACATAGTGTAAAGACGCGCTAAATGTTAGCGTTATACTGTAAGCGCGTCAATAAAAAATGACTCTTATTTCACTTTAAACGGTCTTAATATTTTGGGTATGTGATAAATAGAATATTAAATTCGTGTAAGTTCATTACTGAATTTATTGCACTCGTTGAATAAAATAATATTATTTAATATATAATTTTATTCAACTCGTGCAATAAATTCAGTATTGAACTTACACTCATTTAATATCCTCTATTTACCTCATAAAGTCGTGTTTTGAAGGCTTTACACCCCAACCCTTTTGAGGCCTCAAAATAGTGTAAAACATGCGCTATTTAGGCCCCAAACACTGTTTTTCGGTTTGAGAAATGTTGTTCAAAAGAGTGATCACTTTTTTGGTGCCACCCCCCCCCCCACCCATTAAAAAAGTACATCAAGGGGGTGCCACAGGGGGAAGGTGCCTCAGGAGGGATGTGCCCCCTTCTGTTTGGGGGATTGAAGTGGGGCAGTATCCCCTCTAATCGCCGAGAAGATTTGGGACTTGTAGGGGGGGCTAAAATGGCCTCGGGTCGATTTAAAGGCACCATGTAATCTGAACGCCGAAAACCTTAGACTTTATCTCAATCAATTGAAAAGTTGCTGCACCTTGAAATCAGTTTTGATGGGAAAAAACAACGCAAAATAGAGATTTTTGGCAATTTTGAGATGTCCCCCATTGCCATGGTAACTGGAAATTTAAAATTGAGCATGCTTTTCCACAGGCTATGGTCCAGCCAACATTTGTGCCCAGTTTGATCAGTACTGAAGCATTTTTTTATAGTTCATAGAAGTTTGAACTTGTAACAACAGGCTTAATTCAATGAAAACAGCCATTTTTCGCAATATGCTCATGCAGTAAAAGGTTAAGACGATACCGGCATGCTTAGACGGCATAAGCACTCGGGCCAATATTTTACTAAGTGTGTCGATATGTTTCTTAAGACACACTTGCCCTGTAAAACCTATAATTAATGTCATCTAAATATGTTTTGTTATTCTTCTCTTTTTTTCAGAGATGGGTCTCCATGATGATCACAGTTTCTTGAGACATGTATTTAAAGATTTTTATCGTCAATTTTGATGGTTCTACCCAGCTCCCAACCCTGCTTCAGACCCTGCACACACTTTATTTCATCCATAGTGTGATTTTCAATCAAATGGGAAATTTAATTCTATGTATTTGCCCGTAGAAAAAGAACAGTAACAATACTGAAAATGCATTGCTGAATCTGAAATATTTGAATGAATATCATATAAACAGTACATTATCAGCAAAATGAAATGGAATCGATAAACAGACGTGAAAATTAGACAAAAATATTGATTTTCCATACTAATGTGCTCATTGAGACTGTTTTGCAATATACTGTACACTAAAGTTGGGCTATATTTTGCAATACTCTGTACACTTAAA